TTTATGTTTTGATATTGTAATATTGTGGTATACTCTCTCCTATAATAAATTAGGCAAATTCTCATATTAAGAACACGGATTCTATGAAAGGAATGGAACTACCTGCCTTCTAGGATTATATGAATTTCTTTGAGTGCAATACAATTCATTGGAACACAACCGTTTGCAGGTGTTTCTATTCATTTCACTTTACATATTGTTCACTGGTCTACTTTTGAACTCAACAGGCATTCTACACACCTTATCATTGTGCAAAACACCATTTACCTTTTATAAGGACTATCCCAATCCAGCAGCAAAAAACTGTCCTTCAGGAGAAAATAAATCACACAAGACTACAGAATATATTTAGTCTTCAGATTGCTAGCTTCATTTCACAATAAAATGGGCACATTCAGGAAAAGCATAACAATAATTTTGAAAACGGTTGTTTACTCAGGAGAAAAATACTTTGTTCTGAAGAATAGGTTGTTTGAATCGATAACTTATTGCTGCCTCAATAAGCCATTTCATAGAATGGACCCCAGGTTATTACATTTTAGTCATTTAGCAGACGGTCTTATCCAGAGCGACTTACAGTTAGTGAGTGTATAATTATTTTTTTCATACTGGCCCCCCCGTGAGAATCGAACCCACAACCCTGGCGTTGCAAGCGCCATGCTCAACCAACTGAGCTACACGGGACTATCCCCTTTATTGTTGAACCCTTTCAACGCGCTACCCCCTATTTTGTCACAGTTCCTAATAGTTTTCCACAGATTTCACCGCACAACTATTTAATTATTCTCATTCAATACCGAAGACAAAGGACAGCTCTAGGAACCAATGGGATGTCCCGTGGAATCATTAGAGCGCAAATGGTGTCTGGTCAGAATGCTGCTACAGGAAGTGATGCTGAGATAGAGCTGAGTTGGGAGGGAGACGTTTAATTCATAAACAATGACACCCAGACAAATTTTATGATATGTAGTGCCATGTACTAGATTAACAATATTCCATTATAGTGACAGAAACCACTTTTCCACCTCCACACAGGAACTGAACGCAGTAGGCTATTTATTATATGGCCCTGTTCTAATTTTATTGTAATCAATTAGGCATATGATTGTATACGAACTATATTGACATTGAAGGGTTTTTGTACAAACATAGTTCTCGGTGGCCATCTTTTAGCCTTCCCTATCCCCTGTGGTTCATCTGCATCTCGGGAAGTGATGTCACGCTCCTCTCTTATTATCTCACAACAAAGAAAATGTCCAACGTTTTCATACTGAAAGAACAGATTATTTTGACAACCAACGATACAATATATCCTTAGTGGTCCTCTGTAGCTCAGCTGGTAGAGCACGGCGCTTGTAACGCCAAGGTTGTGGGTTCGATCCCCGGGACCACCCATACACAAATAAATGTATGCACGCATGACTGTAAGTCGCTTTGGATAAAAGCGTCTGCTAAATGGCATATTATTATTATAACACCGATTAGACCAGGTTATGTAGCCTGTAAATAAAAGTGTAAGGGGAACAAGCGCGCACGCATGTACAACCCCCTCTGGTGCTGGGCATTCATTATAGGGAAGGGGTGGATGGGTGATTTTAAATGAAAGTAAACATGGAGCAGAATTATTTCTACGATATGTATTCACCTACATCAGTGAGCAGCTGCTCAGATGTGTCTGAAGGTTGAGAAACACAGCTCTATCCAGTATTCTTGGTCATTTGTTTTGGTAAACAGTGTTTAATGTAGTACAGTAGCCATATCCTCCCACTCCCATCTGAAATTTCAGGTAAGTCGCACCCCACTGAAAGCAGTGTCTTCTCAAAAACGTATTTGACATGCCACATGCATAGCCTGTCTTCAAACACTTTCACCATGGGAAACATGAGTCTTAGTTTATTAATAAGATGTAGACCAAAAACAAACACTTCCCACTGTAACTCAACATCAATTGAAGTGCTTCTGCCTGCGATTACTTGACAGGTTTGACATACACACCAAGAACTACACATTTATCTCCTCACATTTTCTTGACAATTTAATTTGGTCATTATACAGGTTCAACATGTCATATCCCCCATCAACCCGCTCCCCACACAAGACCCAGAAGTATTGTAATGTACTCTGCCACAACTCTAAACGGAAAGACTCGAGGGTAAAAACTGTTTGCGATTTAACAGGTGAGGAGGAAAGGGAAACATGTAAGCTTAAATGCTAAGGTACTGAAACAACTGTTTCTCTGCCACAGGGGAGGCTCACAAGAGGGAACCAAACAGAAAATGTAACCTGATCAACTAACTTAAAACACAGAACATTGGGGGGGGGTGTAAAACACATTTGTCTGTTTAATTACACTTCATTACATTAGTCAACTGCTTATAAATGTCTTCACATGTATTGCTTTCTAGGTTGAGGATGATTACTATACAGTACTTCAGAACAAATAATGAATGCTTACTTGTAATAATTAATAGTAAAACAGAATACGTCAAGAGTGCAGCACTGCAAATGGAAGTGGAGACTGCTGCTCCGTACAACACTATACATCTTAACCTTCAGTGGACTGATTGGAAAAGAGCTCTGGATCTGAGGCTCTGGATTTAAACATGGCTACCGACTCATATCTGTACAGGGTCCCCCCCCCCCCACTGCCTTCTATTTCAAGATAGTCTTGATGATTCCTCCTGCCTTCCATCCCTCCTTCCTGGATTTTGAGGCCTTTCATTCCAAATCAGGCATTTCTGAAAACAAAAACAGTCATAAATAATGGAAAGTAAACAAATGGCCACATGGCAAAAAAAAAATACAATTTGCATGGCACATTTTGCACCAAATCATTTTTTTTAGGGTTAAGGGATGTCAGGGTATAAAACAATTTCATTAGAATCAGTAACTGGTCAGAAAACATTACACTTACTTTCATCGTCACTATCTGCAGACTCGTCCTAAACAGGAATAGAAACAAGTATGCGATCAAGCTGCATATGACCATTGCAATTAAGGTTTGGCAAGTGCATATTGTGTCCCACACATTCTTCTAAAGAGACACTGATCATTCATTAGCAAACCCAAACACAAGAGGCATAGACTAGTGAGACATCGTGTTTTTGTATAAAGCCAAGTAAAGTGAAACTGAGGTTAAAGAATGAACTCCACAGAAAAGCTCTTACATCATCAACATCATCTAGACCAGGTAGGCAGTCTTCCCCTCCCATGTTGTTCATCATCTGCAATCAGAGTCACACAGAACAGCCTGAGACAAATATCATCATGGTGTCATGTAATAACTTGTAGTCTTTGCCCAACCTTTCATTCAGCATTCAAGTGGACCTGTGTAGCTCAGTTGGTAGAGCATGGCGCTTGCAACGCCAGGGTTGTGGGTTTGATTCCCACGGGGGGGTCAGTATGAAAACATTTATGCACTAACTGTAAGTCGCTCTGGATAAGAGTGTCTGCTAAATGACTAAAATGTAAAAGTGCAAGCTCAGTTTGCCCTAGGGCACTTACTTTAGCCATTGCGTCTTGTGTGTTGAACGCCATATCCCCGTCTCCACCCTCTGAGAAACGATCGAAGTTGCCTAGTTCCTCGTCTGAATCGCCCTCCCAGTCTATCCAGTTGTTGAAGTCAACGCTGAGCCAAGTCAGCTGTTGAGGAATATCATGAATGACAAAAAGGCATTGCAGATGCTTGTTTGGAGGATGTCATCTTCCAGGCTCACGTAAGCACCAAATACTGATCATTTTCATTTAACTAATATATCTATATATACAAAAGTATGTGGACACCCCTTCAAATTAGTGGATTCGGCTATCTCAGCCACACCCGTTGCTGACAGGTGTATGAAATCGAGCACACAGCCATGCAATCTCCATAGACAAACATTGGCAGTAGAATGGCCCGTACTGAAGAGCTCAGTGACTTTCAACATGGCACCGTCATAGGATGCCACCTTTCCAACAAGTCAGTTCGTCTAATTTCTGCCCTGGTCAACTGTAAGTGCTGTTATTGTGAAGTGGAAACGTCTAGGAGCAACAACGGCTCAGCCGTGAAGTGGTAGGCCACACAAGCTCACAGAACGGGACCGCCGAGTGCTGAAGCGCGTAAAAATAGTCGGTCCTCGGTTGTAACACTCAGTACCGAGGTCCAGAAGAACTGCTCACTGACAGGGATGCAAACAAAATGTATGCACAAAATTTAAGAAAAATAAGCTTTTTGAGCATATGGAACATTTCATGAAGCTCCCGACTAACAGTTCTTGTGCTGACGTTGTTTCAAACTGCCTCTGGAAGCAATGTCAGCACAAGAACACTTAGTCGGGAGCTTCTTGAAATGTCCAATATGCTCAAAAAGCTTATTTATCTCAAATTTTGTGCATACATTTGTTTTCATCCCTGTCAGTGAGCAGTTCTCCTGGAACTCGGTACTGAGTGTTACAACCGACAGACAATTTTTACGCACTTCAGCACACCCATTCTGTGAGCTTGTGTGGCCTACCACTTCGCAGCCGAGCAATTGTTGCTCCTAGACATTTCCACTTCACAATAACAGCACTTACAGTTGACCGGGGCAGCTCTAGCAGGGCAGAAATCTGACGAACTGACTTGTTGGAAAGGTGGCCTCCTATGACGGTGCCATGTTCAAAGTCACTGAGCTCTTCAGTACTGGCCATTCTACTGCCAATGTTTGTCTACTGAGATGGCATGGCTGTGTGCTCGATTTTATACACCCGCCAGCAACGGACGTAGCTGAAATAGCCGAATCCACAAATTTGAAAGGGTGTCCAGATACTTTTGGCCATGTAGTGTATATATTCTTCTGGTAAATATATTAGACACAATCACTGACCTTAGCCTTCTCTTTTGTTAGCCTCGGCCATGCTTTCCCAGGTTCAGCTTTTCGTAAACAGCACAACACTGACCGATCTGTGCGTTTGTGTATGGATTCCTGTGTGTACAAGAGAGATACATGAACACTTTAATGCCGCAAAACAAAGTTCCCGTAGTTATATATCGAAGGAAGCAATCTGCATCTTGTCCTGAGGACAGGAAGACAATGCAATGAAGTTACTCACATTTTGATCAATTGCTTCGAAAAGGTCTACTTCGTTCTGGTGTTTGACTTGATCAGTTCCTCCAAGACAACTGGTAAAGGGAGGGGTGAAAGGAAATTAGAAGAATTATCAAATGCCTAGAGCAGTTGGTCAAACTTTTCATTTAAACCTCCACTGACAGATGTCATAACTCACCTGAAAACAAACTTAGCTTTCTCAAAATTGATCTTGACATCCTTGCTGTCCGCTACGCAGAACTCGATGTAGACGGAGTCCCGCCTGTCATACCACTTAGCAGTCGCCGGATGCCTGGAAACACAGATGAAGAAACTCAATGAATGACAACATTCTACAGGAAATGTCTAGTTAACAGTGCTTTTCTCTTCTCAGGACAGAAAGGTTGGCTTCAGTAGACTCAGAAGAACGAAAGTCACCATAAATTATCACTGAAGAGAAATACAACTTCCGGAGGACCTATCATGCTTTCACTCCCTCTACCTTCTCTTCCTCCTTATCCGCTGCTAAAGCTATTTTCTAATCACTAAATTTCAAGCTTCTTCCTCTAACCCTAGGAAACTCTTTTCCACCTTCTCCCTCCTTATATCGCCCACCCCTTCCATCCTCCCTCTCTGCAGATGACGTTGTCAACCACTTTGAAAAGGTTGATGACATCCGCTTCTCATTCACTCAGCCTATTGAGTTCACTGGTCCCACACACAGAACTCCCTACGCCTTGACCGCTTCCTCCCCCGCTCTCCAGATGGAATCCTATGACTAGTGAAGTCTGGCCACTGGACCCCCCCCGGCGGCCACCTCACTTGATAATAAGATGGATCACCTCAGATCGTGGATTTGGAAAATACTGCTTTGATTTGCTACCAACAGGAGTCTCCAAACTGCAATATTCTCTGCTTTTCTGAAACATGGCTCTCAGACAAGATACACCCCCCCCCCCCCAAGGCTGTCCAACTCGATGGATTTTCCATTCACTGTACCGACAGGACAGTGGAGTCGGGGAAATCGAGGGGGGAGAAAGTGTCGCCCAAGTCTTGGAATACCGGATGGTCAAATACCGACCCTTTCACCTACCGAGGGAGTTTTCAGCTGTTATCGTGACTGTAGTATATATTCCACCTCAGGACAAGAGAAATAACAAGCTGGCACTTAACGAACTGTACGAGGCTATAACCAAGCAGAAAAACGTACATCCAGAGGCTGCTTTTCTGGTTACCGGCTATTTAAATTCGGAGTCATTAAGACACATGATGCCCAACTTCCATCAACATGTCTCCCTCGCCACTAGGGGCGATAAAGTCCTAGACCACTGTTATTCTACCCAGAATCAGAGATTATGCTCCAGGGCTGCTTTGCTAGTGCTGACTGGAATAGGTTTCGGGACACTGGTGATAACGTTGACGAGCTAACCACCCCAGTCACTGGCTTCATTAGGAAATGCATCGGCAACGTTGTCCTCACAGTTAAGGTTAGCTGCTTACCCAATCAAAAGCACTGGATTAACACGGAGGTTGGCGCTAAACTAAAGGATAGGGCTACCGCACACAGGGCTATCGCAGACAACCCTGAGGTTACGGCTAAGAACAGGAACAAGAAGTCCTGCTATCACCTCCGCAGTCATCAAACGAGCAAAAGGACAATATAGGAATAAGGTGAAATCATATTACACTGGCTCCGCCGCATGTGGCTACAGTCCGTTACGAATGACAAAGGAAGACCCAGCCGCGACCTGCCCAACGATGCCTCTACCAGACGAACAATGGATTTTATGAACGCTTTGACAATAACATCCTGCCGGGTGTGAGGGCCGTCATCGACCCAGAAGATTGGGTGATCTCACCCTCTGAGGCAGACATGAGTATTCTAATCAGATCAATACCTAACAAGGCCCGATGGTATTCCAGAGCGCGTTCTCAGAGCATGCGCATAATAGTTGGCGGGTATATTCACTGTAATTTTCAACCTCTCTTTGTCCCAGTCTGTAATCCCCACGTTTTAAGATGACCACCATCATACCTGTTCCATAACACTCCACACTGCCCTCACCCACCTACATAAGAGGAATACCTATGTGAGAATCCTGTTCATTGGCTACAGCTCAGCGTTCAACACCATTGTCCTCTCCAAGCTCAGGACCCTGGGATTGAACAGCTCCCTCTGCAACTGGATCCTGTACTTACTGATGGGGTGACCCCAGCTGGTGAGGGTAGGCAATATCCCCTCCACCACGCTAACCCTCAACACAGGGGCCCCACAGGGGTGTGTGCCTAGTACCCTTCTGTACTCCCTGTTCACCCACGACTGTGTGGCCACGCATGACTGCAACACCATCAAGTTTGCTGACGACACGACGGCATTGCTTTCGATCGCATGGCGCTACAGAGGGTGGTGCAGATAGCCCAGTACATCACTGGGGCCGAGGCCCCTGCCACCCAGGACCAGTATATCAGGCGGTGTGAAAGGAAGGACCGGAAAAACCGTAAAAGACTCCAACCCCCCAAGCCATAGACTTCTCTTCTTCCGCACGGCAAGCAGTACTGGTGCATCAAGTCTGACACCGACAGGCTCCTGACAAGCTTCTATCCCTATGCCATAAGACTGCTAAATAGCTACACAGACCGAGTTCACCTTTGTATTTTATTCTCTATGCACACTCACAGGGTACGCCAACACACATACAAACTCACTCCATAATTTGATCACACACACACACACACATAATATGCACATTCACAAACACACAATCATATACACTGCTGCTACTCTGTTTATCATATATCCTGATGCCTAGTCACCTACCCCTATACATATCTACCACATGTATATCATATACAGTGCCTTTGAAAAGTATTCAGACCCCTTGACTTTTCCCACTTTGTTAGGTAACAGCCTTATTCTAAAATTGATTAAATTGCCCCCCCCCCCCCTCAATCTACACACAATACCCCATAATGACAAAGCAAAAACAGGTCTTTAGAAATGTTGGGTAATTTATTAAAAAAAAAAAATGAAACTGAAATATCACACTTACATAAGTATTCAGACCTGTTACTCAGTACTTTGTTGAAGCACCTTTGGCAGTGATTACAACCTTGAGATTTCTTGGGTATGACGCTACAAGCTCGGCACACCTGTATTTGGGGAGTTTCTCCCATTCTTCTCTGCAGATCCTCTCAAGCTCTGTCAGGTTGGATGGGGAGCATTGCTGCACAGCTATTTTCAGGTCTCTCCAGAGATGTTCAATCGGGTTGAAGTTCGGGCTCTGGCTGGGCCACTCAAGGACATGTCCCGAAGCCACTCCTACGTTGTCTTGGCTGTATGCTTAGGGTCGTTGTCCTGTTGGAAGGTGAACCTCCGCCCCCAGTCTGAGGTCCTGAGAGCTCTGGAGCAGGTTTTCATCAAGGATCTCTGTACTTTGCTCGGTTCATCTTTACCTCGATCCTGACTAGTCTCCTAGTCCCTGCCGCTGAAAAACATCCCCACAGCATGACTGTGGGGATGGTGCCAGATTTCCTCCAGACGTGACACTTAGCTTTCAGGTCAAAGAGTTCAATATTGGTTTCATCAGACCAGAGAATCTTGTTTCTCATGGTATGAGAGTCCTTTAGGTGCCTTTTGGCAAACTCCAAGCGGGCTGTCATGTGCCTTTTACTGCGGAGTGGCTTCCGTCTGGCCACTACCATAAAGGCCTGATTGGTGGAGTGCTGCAGAGATGGTTGTCCTTCTGGAAGGTTCTCCCATCTCCATAGATGAACTCTGGAGCTCTGTCAGAGTGACCATTGGGTTCTTGGTCACCTCCCTGACCAAGGCCCTTCTCTCCTGATTGCACAGTCTTGGTGGTTCCAAACTTCTTCCATTTAAGAATGATGGAGGCCACTGTTCTTGGGGATCTTCAATGCTGCAGAAATGCTTTGGTACCCTTACCCAGATCTGTGCCGACACAATCCTGTCTCTGAGCTCTACGGACAATTCCTTCGACATCATGGCTTGCTTTTTGCTCTGACATGCACTGTTAACTGTGGGACCTTATGTAGACAACTGTGCGCCTTTCCAAATCATGTCCAATCAATTGAATTTACCACAGGTGGACTCGAAGCAAGTTGTTGAAACATCTCAAGGATGATCAATGGAAACAGGATGCACCGGAGCTCATTTCGAGTCCCATAGCAAAGGGTCTGAATACTTATGTAAATAAGATATCAGTTTAATTTTTAATACATTGGCAAACATTTCTAAATAAACCGTTTTCGCTTTGTCATTATGGGGTATTGTGTGTAGATTGCTGAGGAATTTAATTATTTAATCCATTTTAGAATAAGGCTGTAACGTAACACAATGTAGAAAAAGTCAAGGCGTCTGAATACTTTGTTTTTATTTTGATATATCTTGTGTGTTTTTGTTCTACCTTGTTATTTTTTGTATTACATTGTTATTTATTACTGCGTTGTTGGTGTTAGAGCTTGCAAGAAAGGCATTTCCTGTACTTGTGCAAGTGACATTAACTTGAAACCTGCAAACTCAACTGATAATTTCAAAAACATTTAATAGTTTCATTCATTTTCAGCTACTTCCTTTAGTGTTCTCATGTAATACTGTAGTGAAAAATAGCCCCAGTGCACCAATGAACGAGCAAGATCTGATTAATGTGGTCCTCTGTAGCTCAGCTGGTAGAGCACGGCGCTTGTAACGCCATGGTAGTGGGTTAGATCCCCGGGACCACCCATACACAAAAATGTATGCACGCATGACTGTAAGTCGCTTTGGATAAAAGCGTCTGCTAAATGGCATATTATTAAGGCCTGACTGACTAAATACTGATCTAGATAGCTAACGTTACACAATCCCTTCCATATTCTTGTTCAAAGTCAAAAGTGATCATTGTAGGCTATGTCAATGACCTGAGCTAAACCAGAGCTGTGAGACTACTGTCGCCCTCACTGCCTAAGATAAACGTGATTTATCTTACCATACTGTCAGTTGATGTTAAATGCATTTAGCTACTTTAGGACATCCATCAATGAGCATTCTGTATCATTAGCCATCTCGCTTTGTTTCTGTATCATTAGCTAGTTAGCCATCTCGCTTGGCTTCCTTGCAGCTACAGTTAGCAGTAGGATAACCAGCCTTTCATTTTGTTGAGAGAAACTGGACATAATCTATGTGCATGGTATGCATGCAATCATTTTGTTAAGTTAAACTGTCAGTCATTCATCATTTTAATAAATCTAGCGTTACTTATGATAACCAGAGCACTTTGCTAGCTAGTGATAGGTACTAACATTTCATGATGGGA